CGTGCCCCTTTTCTCCCCCACGCTCCTTCCCCTCTATAGACTTACCAGCCAAATACTGCTCTCCAGACTTCCGGGCTGCATTCCTGGCCGCATGAATGCTGTGGCTGCACAGATGCATACGATATTAATTGGTGACATTATTAGCTACACCAGCCAAAAAAAGCTGATTGCCAATAATGTCAACTTTCCTTTCATCGCTGCCAATCTCATATGCCACCAAAATATTGGTGCACTTCTACAAACAACTCTTCAGTTATGTAGAGAACGATTTTCTGAGAAACGAAATCAACGTGCAAATGAGATTGTGGATACTGGGTTTCCTGTTGCTTTATGTGTCATTGTGTTAAGTCTGGCCTGGCTGATGTTAAAATGTTTCTTTCCATCCCAGGTTCCCAGTGAGACTACCACTCTATGGTGGAGGATCCTCTAGTCATTAGTGGAGACGCCTTCTTGTATAAATGCACAGAGTCATATCACTTTATTTGTGAGAAAATGGCTGTTCAATAAATCCACTGCAGTCTCAGAAGAATCAGAGAATCCATCCACAGATGCTGCAAAGACAGAGACACCACCCAGCTTTTAACTTGCTGCACTACCTTTGAAACAAATGAGGTGTCACATCAGAGGATAAACCATGACCCTTGCGGAATGGCCCCAGCCAGTAGAAGCCCTCCCCCAACACCTTGTGTGACCTTCATTCCTTGTTTGGTCTGAAACGTTTCCTGAAATGGAAAATTACATCATAAAAACACTTTATTCTTCCAACATATTATGCAGCCTCCTTATGTGCTCTAACAGTGACATCAAGGTGGGGCAGATAAAACAGCCAAAGGGAGTACAGTGGAGTGCTGGAGTGAAAGCAGGACTGGATAGGTGGAGTGAGCAGCCTAGAGTGATGAAAGAACAGGTTAAGGCCCCTTTAGAAGAACTGGACATGTGCAAGTCCATGGGGCTGGATGCAATGCACCCCAGGATGCTGAAGGAGTTGGCTGAAGTGATTGCAGAGTTGCTGGCCATTATCTTTGAAAACTCATGGTGACTAGGAGAGGTCCCAGATGACTGGAAAAGGTCAAATATAGTGTTTCTCTTTAAGAAAGGGAAGGAGGATCTGGGGAAATATAGACTGGTCAGCCTCACCTCAGTCCCTAGAAAAATCATGGAGCAGATCCGCAGGGAATCCATTTCTAAGCACTTGGAGGAGAGGAAGATGATTAAAAACTGTCAGCATGGATTCATCAGGGTCAAGTCATGCCTGACCAACCTGATTGCCTTTTATGATGAGACTAGCAAATTAACCATCAAGCATGATGGGGTGGGGGAAAGAGGGCTGGGAAGAGAGGCCTGTGTCATCCCCCCCCTTTTCTCCCCCACCTCAGGTTGGGGTCCAAGTCCCCCCCCCTTTTCCCACCCCACTGCCTTGGGGCTGGGCCCGCTCCCTCCCTTCCCCATCCACTGCTTTGGGCCTGGGCTTGTTCCACCCTCTTCCCCCCACATTGTTTCAGGTCTGGTTCCCCCCTGCTGCTTTGGGTGTGGGCTGTGCACTCTTTTTTCCCCACCTCCCTGGACTTGGGGTGGGAAGGGGAGCTTGCACACAGCAGCAGGCGACCGGGTGATGTTACCAGTAACCCCCACCTCCCCTTACTGCTTCCCTTCCTCCCCTCTTCCCCTCCGACTCCCCTTCCCTTCCGGCTGTTGTTGCGGGGGCGCCATGTTGGGGGACGAGGCTAGCGCTGCACCACCAGCACCCTGTGCCCCTGCCAACTCTAAGGAGCAAGGCCAGGGGAGGGGGGTGAGGCCATAA